TTATCCTTTTTCTATATTCTCACAACCCTTATAGGTATTTTCATCCATTCTTCCTTGACACAAACATTTACAAGTATACCTGTCACTTCTGTGTTCAGCACATCCTTGCTCTTCATCAATCTCCAAAGCGCTCCTTTTCATTATTCACTCATTTCACTCATTACTTTCATTTTTAATTCTAATAACTCTGCCGAAAGATCCTTGTTTAGGTCTTTTCATCTACCTCCAGTTTTGTTTTGTTTTTTTTAAAAAAATCCCATTAAAAAAAGACTTTGCATTTTCTTTGCCTCGTTCAATATTTTTTTGCTCGTGACCCCTTTGCCAATTTTCCTAGGAAATGTCTTATTTTTCCTGTTCAAACATTGTAAGATACCTTCCTCTCATCCTCATGATTTGCAGCCATCGTTTTCTTAAGTCTAATTTTTTTTTTCATCCACAGCCTCTTCCCCTTCATCCCACGTATTTTCCATTAGCATTTGCATAATTCAACATAACTCCCTGGCCCAGTAATATAATTTTCTTCGCTCCGATCCCTGCAATTCCGTGACTTCTATCCAAAACTAACTTGTCTTTTCATATCCTTTCAAACAGGACACACACACTTCTTAAGGTTGTTTTGTTTTCATTCTAGTTTGTTTGGCATCTTTCCTTTCTTTCCATGCCTTCTTTTCTCTAAAGATCTGCTCTTGGGGCTGCTAAAACATGGTTACATCCAGCAGGTTCTGACAGGTTCTGGAGAACCGGTAGCAGAAATCTTGAGTAGTTCGGAGAACCGGCAAATACCACCTCTGGCTGGCCCCAGAATGGGGTGGGAATGGAGATTTTGCAGTATCCTTCCCCTGGAGTGGGATAGGAATGGAGATTTTGCAGTATCCTTCCCCTGCCACGCCCACCAAGCCACACCCACCAAGTCACGCCCATAGAACCGGTAGTAAAAAAAATTTGAATTCCACCACTGGTTACGTCCCACATTCAGAACCTCTCATTAATCTTTACATCCTTCCCTAATTTTCTCAATCGATTTGGCACAATCCTTTGGATTTACAGCTATTCACACGCCGTGTGTAAGAGATGACCAAGTTGAGCCTGAAGGAGTGATCAAATCTGTCATCAGTCTTGAGTCCCTTCGCATCCACAAGAGATCTAAGTCCAGCCCATCTTGAATTGCGTTGACCCTTGTCTACCGCCAATTTGCTTTGACTGTTAGTAGAGCAGATTTTTGTAGAGAGTTAGCATTGTTGTGGTCCGCAGGCAGCCTGCGGAGTTGGCAGCAGAGTCGAACAGTGAGGAGGTTGGGGAGGAACATGGGCCAGTCCTGGAGTCTGGGGAAGGCTCTGATGAGTGCTCTGCGTTGGAGGCAGAGATGGAACCAGAGCCATCTGGTAGTTATGTGCTGTCTCTGGAGCCTCCGGAATCTGACATCAGCGAGGCAGAAGAACAGTGTGAGCCTGTTCCCAGTGTGCGCATGCGCAGAGCTGCCAGAAGGCAAGAACAATTAAGGAAAAAAAGGGTGACTCGGGAGTAAGGCTTGGAGTTGATTGACCCCTCCCATAAGACATAAAAGAGGAGCAAATGGATGTGAGCCTTTGCAGAAAGCAATTCAAGTTCTGAGAAGCTCCGTTTGACTCTGTGCTCCGTTTGGCCTTGCAAAACTAATTGGCAATTAGGTCTCTAGCAGCGTTTCAAGGGAGATAAAGGTGGGTGCTTATCAACATTACCCTGAAAGACTGTATCAACTCGAGCAGACATCTGTCGGAATCTTCACAGACTGTTTGTGAAACATTACGGGCTGTGAATGACCATAATTCACAGCCATCTCAATAAAAGAGGTTTTTTGGGACTAAAATTGTGATTTATGCTTTCTCAGGAAGCCTAGGTCAGAACAAGCATGGAGTAAACTTATAGTCATTTCAACAGCCTTGCTTCCTGATTTCTTTGTGTCTGACAAGGTGTACCTCCAACCAATTTACGTCTAAACCAGGAGTGAAATACTGCTGGATCAGATCGCCTGATCCGGTAGCGATTTTTCCCTGTGGTTCGGCAATCCGGTAGCAATCACCGCCCAGGTGTCATTACTTCCTGGTTTTAACGTGCGCTTCCGAACCGGTAAGGAAGGTAAGTAGATTTCACCCCTGGTCTAAACCATATCTTTGAAACAAGAATACTTTTCACCGAAGAAATAGTCACTAAACAATCCTTCTTCCCATTTATTTCTGACTCTCCAAATAGCCACATTAATTTGTCTCTTGTCCGATTCCCACCCGTCCATTCCACTGATGTTTTCCAACCTGGAGTGTAGTCGTTCAGAATATTACACACATTTTCCCCAAAAGACATTTTGTGGTCCTGCCATTATTACCATTCACAGGACTTGTAACTGCGGCTACCACCGATCTCTGAATTTCTACTTCACAGAAGACCTCGGTTCATACTTTCTCATTTACATTTAGCCCTTTGAATTTATGTAATTAATCTTCCCCTTGCATGTCCCTGCATGCATTCATCAACCCTACTCTAGAAGTTCAGACTGCCTTCATTCAATGTTACATTCGCCCCTTATTCTCTTCATTGCATAGACATATAACCAAGCTTCCTTCCTTCCTTCTCCTTCCCTTCCCTTCCCCATCCTTCCATCTCTCCATCCATCCTCTTCATTTATTTACTTTTAATTCAATGTTACTTTCTCCCCTTTTATCTTCATTGCGTAGACATACAACCTTCCTTCCTTCCTTCCTTTTTTCCCTCCCTCCTCCCACTTTCCCTTCCCTTATCCATCCATTCATCCATATCCATCCATCCTCTTCGTTTATTTACTCTTCATTCAATGTTACATTCTCCCATTTTCTCTTCATTGCAGACATATAACCTTCCTTCCTTTCTTCCCTCTCTCCTCGCACCTTCCCTTCCCTTAACCATCCATTCATCCATATCAATCCATCCATCCATCCTCTTCATTTATTTACTCTTCATTCAATGTTACATTCTCCCATTTTCTCTTCATTGCATAGACATATAACCTTCCTTCCTTCCTTCCTTCTTTTCTTCCCTCCCTCCCCCCATCTTCCCTTCCCTTATCCATCCATTCATCCATATCCATCCATCCTCTTCGTTTATTTACTCTTCATTCAATGATACATTCTCCCATTTTCTCTTCATTGCATAGACATATAACCTTCCTTCCTTCCTTTCCTCCCACCTTCCCTTATCCATCCATCCATCCATCCATCCATCCATCCATCCATCCACCCATCCACCCTCTTCATTTATTTACTCTTCATTCCAACTTGTAATCTTCCATAAGTCATGGCCATTTTTGGATGTACACAATGATACTGACTTCCACTACCCACGAGGCCTTTCAAGAAGATGGAAAAGAGGTAGACTAGTTCACCTGTGCCTTAGTCACACCTGTTCCTCAGGCAGCCTTCCCTTCAAACAGGAAGAGTAGTACCAGGGACTTTGGGACAAAATTGTACATATATTCTACAGCAGCCGTCCTCATTGCTGTTTGCTTCTGGTTGCAATTCAAGGTGTTTGCATTCATTTACTAAGCCATTCAGCCTGTGGATGCACCTTTTACCTGGACTCCAAATGTGTTCTTGAATTGTTACCACCGATATTTTTCCTGTACAATCCTGCTAATACTTGAGCCCTACAGGATTCGGCAGTAGAAGTAGTCCTCGATTTACGACCACCATCGATCCCAAAATTTCTTGCTAAGTGAGACATTTGTTAAGTGAATTTTTCCCCATTTTACAACCTTTCTTTCCACTGACATTGTTAGGTTACTAACACGGTTGTTAAGTGAACGTGGCTTCCTCATTGACTTTGCTTGTCAGAAGGTTGCAAAAGGGGATTATACGACCCTGGGACACTGCAACCGTTATAATTATGACTCAGTTAGCAAGCGTCTGAATTTTTATCACATGACCAGGGGGATGTTGCAACGGTAGGGTAGCAAGTGTGAAAAATTGTCATAAGTCACTTTTTTCCAGTGCTGTTCTAACTTTGAACGGTCACTAAATAATAACAGGATTGTCAAGAGTCTGTTGCAAAAACAAATCCAGAAGCACACACAGATAACTGGATAATCAGCTGGATTCATTAACTTCTTTATATTCATAACAACACATAAAGTATATTTACAATACCCACAGTGGATTCTTCAGCTCAGATCAGCAGACATGTTCACACACAAGAGTACAGCAGAGAGACTTAACACGCTTCTTTTTCTCTGCGCAGAATCAGAAGCTGCAGACTAAGACACGCCTTGGCTCCAGTCTGTCTCAGCTCTCAATTGGCTGACCTTGTCTTTCCAGTCATGAATATTCTGACAAGAATAACAGAGTTAAAAGGGAGCCTGGTGGTCTTCTAGTCCAACCCCCTGCTCAGGCAGGAAACCCTATAACCCTATTTCAAACAAATAGTTGTCCAATCCCTTCTTAAAAACCTCGAGTGATGGAGCACCCACAACATCTGGAGGCAAGTCGTTCCACTGATTAATTCTTCTTAACTGTCAGGAAATTTCTCCTAAATTCTAGGTTGCTTCTCTCCTTGATTAGTTCCCATCTATTGCTTCCTAGCCTGCCTTCATAACCTGTCGTAAGTCGAGGACTACCTGTGTACAAGTCAAACAAAGACAGTTGCAGCATCCCCTTGGTCACGTGATCAAAATTCAGACGTGTGGCAGCTGACTCCTGTTTATGATGGTTTCACTGCACTGGAGAAAAATACAGGTGGACCCTTCAGCTAAAGAGATAAAAGGTCAATAGATCTGCAGGGTGTCCTACCTTGGAGAAGGATCAGATAACCCCGAAGGCAAAAAGTTTTTGTTCTGACTTTGGAAAGAGATCTTTTGTAAATAAATGGGGGCATTACCTGAGCACTGAACTCCGCACTGGCAACAGGAAGAGCATCCGGCCAGTAAACACTCAGCTCCATTCAGTTGCCCAGACTCCACCCCGCAAGGGATTATGGGGTGGTTAAAAGAAGATGGTTACCTGAGCATTGAGTAACTCTTCACACTTCTGCGCCTGCTTCTCAATGGCAGAGACATGCTGTTTCTCCAAGGCCTTTTCCCGTTCCTCCACAAGCACCTTCAGCAGGGCCTGGAACAAAGCAAAGAGCAGACAATCAGCCCAGGTTTGTGAATTTTCTCTTCCCCCACCCCCATTCTGTACAATTTTGTAGAACTAGAGAAGCGAGCATGAATACAACCAGAAGTGGGCTGCTGGGGGTTCGCAGGGGTTCGGGAGAACCTCTAGCTAAGATTCTGTGCAGTTCGGAGAACCCGCAAATCCCACTCCTGGCTGGCCCCGCCCACCCCGCCCTTCCCCTCCCAGGAGTCCCCACTTGGCCTGTTTTGGATGCGGGTAAGTGCAGGGCGCGCCCGGAGGCTCAGGGAGGGCGAAAAATGGGCCTACTGGAAGTTCTAGAAGGCCAGAAATGGGGTTGTTTCTGGCCTCAAGAGGACCTCTGGAGCCTGGGGAGGCCATTTTCACCCTCCCCAGGTTCCAGGAAGGAGGCTCGAGGAAAGCCTCCGAAGCCCGGGGAGGGCAAAAACGCACCCCCTGCTATATTTATTTATTTATTTATTTATTTATTATTAATTTTATTTCTATACCGCCCTTCTCCCGAAGGACTCAGGGCGGTGTACAGCCTGATTAAAAGCATAAAGACAGACAAAATTTAAAAATAATTAAAATTATTAAATGATAGGCTCAATTTAAAACCCCCAATTTAAAATCCCAATTTTTAAAAACCCAATTAAAATCTTTACCTTGATAGCCCAGCCTGGCGGAACAACAAGGTTTTGAGGGCACAGCGAAATACACGGAGATCAGAGATTTTACGAATTTCTGGGGGCAGCTCATTCCAAAGCGCAAGAGGCCGACTAGGCCACACCCACCATGGCCACACCCACCCAGCAACCGGGCAGAGACCCTCTTGCTAAAAAAATTTTGAAGCCCACTCCTGAATACAACTGCCTATTCAAGGGCACCGAGAGATTAAACAGAAGGCGTTTTGAAGAGGGATCTTTTAATGAATCTTAATTGAAGTCTGCAACCGAAGTGTTTGTTTCTGGGGCTCCTTGTGAAGGGATGAGTAACAGATAGGGAAAGTGGAGAGTTTTCTGTTAAAGCTTCTCATCTAGCTTTTCTGGGACCACCCAAGATGAAAATCGAGAGGCTCGGTTTGCAGGAGGAGAGTCAGACATATTTCACTGGCTGACAAAACTCCACATCCTCTCAGCAGAGACGGCTACATCCCAGGGGCCAAGCAGGATCTCCACAACCACAAGTCAAGTGAAAACAGATGGAAATTATGACTCGCTTGAAAATATAGAAGCAATGCCCCCAAAACGCCAGTCTCGCTCCAAAACTCGAAGAGATCGGGAATCAGAACTGAAAAAATCTAAATTAGAGCAACCAATCAGCCCGTGTTTTTTTTTTTTTTTTTTAAAAAAACACTCAAAAAATTGGAACATTTTTTAACCGTCCACGGCGCAGGGTCTATCCTACACTGGGAAGAGCGGAGAATGAAACACGAAATCCATGCTGCGTTCTTCCATTTCCTTTGACTGAGTGATGGCTTTACCACTTTTTTCGTACACTTTCCACGGCAGTAGCGTCGAATCTTGTTACCAACCATCTGGGTGATTCCCTTTCGCTCTTTCCTAAAAGCCGTTGACAGATAACAGCGCGATGCACACAAAAAAAGCTAACGTTTAACTATTTATTATTTTATTTATTTATTTATTTATTTATTAGTCATATTTCTATGCTGCCCACTCTCCGAGGATTCTGGGTGGCTTACACCAAAGACAGCATACTAAATAGCATATTGCCCCCAACAATCTGGGTCCTCATTTTACCCACCTCGGAAGGATGGAAGGCTGAGTCAACCTTGAGCCGGTGAGATTTGATCCGCTGATCTGCTGAACTAGCAGTCAGCTGAAGTAGCTGCAGTACTGCACTCTAACTACTGCGCAACCTCGGCTCTAACCACTGCGCCACCTCGCCACCTTGGCAGATACAATGGAGAACGAAAGTGTTTGAACTTGCAATTAGGCTACCAAAATTTTGGTACGCTCGGGCACATGAGCAGAGCGTTTAAAAGCAACTTATTGGTCATTTTTAATGGGATGCATTGCTGTTTAAACGACAGCCTAAAATATGCAAAATGCTGGGAACAGTTTTTTTCTTTTCTCTTAAGTCATCATGTCTTCAAGTATCACTACATATATATATATATGCAGCAGGGGTGAAATGCTCCCGGATCGGACCAGATCGCCCGATCCGGTAGCAATTTTTCCCCGTGGTTCGGCAATCCGGTAGTGATTGCCGGCTGGGTGTTATTACTTCCTGGTTTTAACCAGGAAGTAATGTCTTTTTATCTTCTGTGCACGCGCAGAAGGTTTTGCACATGCACAGAAGGTGTGCGCCAGGGGTGGGTTCTAAAATTTTTTACTACTGGTTCTGTGGGTGTGGCTTATTTTGTGGGTGTGGCTTGATGGTCATGTGACAATTCTTTAGGATTTAGCAGAGGCACTGGTCTACCAGGCTTTTAACTGCTTTCAGAGCTGTACTGATCTACCCATTTATTTTTGCAGGCACTGGTCTACTCATTTGTTTTTGCAGGCACTGGTCTACTCATTTGTTTTTGGAGGCACCAGTCTACTCATTTGTTTTTGGAGGTACCGGTCTACCACCACACTGCCTTTTAACACTGATCAGCTGTAGGGCAGCCTTTGGAAGCCCCGCGGCAAGAGTTTAAATAGTATTTTTCCTTCTAGCCGATCAGCTGGGACTCAGGAGGCAGCAATAGATTGGGGGTGGGGCCAAATAAAAGGTAAGAATAACGCGGAGGGGGCAGGGGGGCAGAACCGGTTTGGTGATGTCATATCGTCACCGCTACCAGCTTGGCGGAACCAGGCAGAACTGGGAGTGACCCACCACTGATGTGCGCACATACATGATGCGCGCCCATGGCGCGTGCACTTCCGAACCGATAAGGAAGGTAAGTAGATTTCACCCCTGATATGCAGTTCAAAGAAGTGCTTCCCCAAAAAAATGCTTTCCTCCAAATACTTCGTTCTATATTATATAGCCCTGATGGCGAACCTATGGCACGCATGCCACAGGTGGCACTTAGAGCCCTCTCTGCGGGCATGCCAGCCGTCACCCCAGCTCAGCTCGGCATGTGCGCGTGCCTCCCGCCAGCCAGCTGATCTTTGGGTCTCTGCTGTGCTTGTGTGTGGGGTGGGGCACATGCACGGGGGATGCTTACATTGCATTTTGGGGTTTCGCGTGGCAACCCTGCATCCTGTTTTGGCTCCCAGGTTGGTGCAGGAGGCCTTCCAGGCCCAAAATGGGGTATGGGGAGGGCCCCCCCATGCCCCATTTTGGGCCTGGAAGGCCTCCTGCACCAACCGTGAAGCCAAAAACGGGCGAGGGGGGGGGGGGCACATGGGGGGGGGGGAGGTCGCACGCGCATTGCCTTTCGGCACGCGATGACAAAAAGGTTAGCCATCACTGTTATATCTTTTCCCTCTTTTTAATTTTGCTAATTTTAATTGGTTTTAAATGATCGGGGTGTTTTAATTTGTCTGGGCCAAATTGTTTAATTCGATTTTACTTTGTTTTTAAATTTTGTATCTATGTATTTTTACTGATTGGCTGTTCACCGCCCTGAGTCCTTCGGGAGTAGGGCGGTATATAAATCAAATAAATCAAATAAATAAATAAAATAAATATAGAATAAACTAAAAAGTTACCAAACGTAACTTAAGGAGTCAAAATTAAAACAATTGGCAAATGTCAACATTCTTAAGGAAGATGGTGTTAGTCTAAAAATGAGGGCGAATTACAAGAGCATTACAAAACAAGCACACAGCATTAAAAAAATAATAATAACTGGAAGTTGGAAACTATTGTGGCATTTCGCAACCAAGTCGATTCTTCCATTGCGGGGTTGTTGTTTTTTTATATGCATTATTATTTATTAAAAATACACTAATCCCATTTTCAAATTAGACGTTTCCAAGGCTCTTGCCAATTTTGAAATGAAAGCCTATTTTTTTTTAAAAAAAAAATGTACAGGATATATGATAAGCCAAAAAAAACCTTAAAATAACACAAACACCCTACAAATCAAAACACAACAGCAATTTTAACAAATTAGGACCAGACATTTCTTTCCAATAAACAGCAACTTCACAGTTAGGAATTTCGTGCCATGTCTCCTAACATTGCTATGTATGGGCAATCCCATTGTGAAAACAGAGCAAGAAGAATATTTCATTACTATTGTGTCTTTCTGTTGCGGTGGGATTCCGAATGGTAGCCACAGATGAAGAATATTATAAGCCAGATCATGGAACAGAACCAGGCAGATTCCTTGGGTCAGACTGGACCTTTCTAGGCCGACGGCCATGGATTTGGGCCAACGTCAACACTACCTTTCCTTACACCATGGAAAACAAATAAATCTAATTATATATATAAAAAATCTCTTTTAGATTCTCATATTAGACTAATGCTTTAGGACTACAAGCAAGCATGTAACCACGTTTTCCAAAACTGACTGCTTCCCCCACAATCGCTAACAGGATCTGTTTACGAGTCTAGCTGGTTGGTGGTCCTTCCATCTCACCATCTGCAACCATGAAGCCAGAGGTGGTATTCAGCCGGTTCGTACCGGTTTGGGCGAATTGGTTGCGGAGATCACGGGTGGGCCAGTCCACCGGCCTCAGCTCTATGCCGTCCGTCCTATTTAGGCACAGTTTTGAGGCCAGGCGCAAGCGAGGAAGGCATGTATGAGCAAATGATCTGTCCCCGTCCACACACACACAGAAACACAGCCAGCCGAGGGTTAAGGAAACACTTTGGAACACACCCAGTTTCTTTATCTCCAACTTGGCAGCGACAGACACACCGTCTGCCAAGTGCCTTTATTTTCACAGAAAAACAGAAAGATAAATACTCAGCTTCCAAATGTCCAACAACAACAAATATTTCTCTCAGCAGTTCCGAACGAGGCTTTAGTGACTATCCAAGGTTAGTTTTGTTCGTCACAAGGATCACTGACCACCACCCTCTATTATATA